TATATATATATATATATATATATATATATATATATATATATATATATATATATATATATATATATATATATATATATATATGCAAACGTCAAAGTCCTGAATGTACTGTAAAACGTAGCTCAATGAATGTGAATCAGTGTATGTGTTCCTACCAAGTGTGCCGCAAGCCTGCGTTTGAGTGAAGGTCTCGGCCGTTAGATCGCCCCCTGGGGGCTGGCTGCAGTACAAGTCATAAATTCCGCCTCCTCTGTGTTAATGAAGGAGACTTGAGCCCAAATAAAAAAATTAATTACACTTGCAATAAAATGTCCCGAAAGATGGTTCTGGTCGATTAAGGCACTGATTATTGTGCTGAAATAGGTGCAGATCCTCATTTTTGTAAACAGTTTGTTTTTAGCAGTAATTTAATGCTGGGCGTGTCATCGTGATTGACAGCTGTGATTGACAGTTTCTCAAAGCAGACCGTCTGAGCTTCGGCAGAAGACTGAAGTGTTATTACTCGATTTCTGTGATATTTTACTATGACAAAATGAGTTCAGCAGTAAACTACAGTTTCTGACATACATGATCTGGTGGAACACTGTTTATTCGCTAAGGTCAGAGCTTTTTTCGGGCTTTATTAGTTTGCTAATACACGCCTAGCCACCCAGATAGCAAAATACACTGGGGCCAGTTCTTGCCTGCCGGAGACTTACCCCTCAGACTGACTACCTCTGCTGGACCTACTCCGGATGCCTGGACTCACTGCCCGATTCCAGCCTGAGTCAATTGAGCCAGATGCGGCGGCCGAGCGAGCAGGCGCTGCGCATGCTAGCCGGAATCAGCCCGCGACGCCGCGAGTAGTTGGCGTTTTATTTGAACACTCCAGCTAACATTAAAAAGAATGTAAATTCCTCGTTGCCAGATATAATGAAGGCATCGAATAAACCAAATGAAAACAGAGGCAAAAAAATTAAATAAATAAACAATTCAAGCGAAAATGAATAAACAATGTACTAGTGATGTTACAGCAGATAGACGTTGTATTAATAGTGCAAAGTTTTTTTGCACAAATTGACAAATTGCAGGGTTGGGATGTGTAAATATCCTGTTGATATTTAGTAATCTTGCTGTATTTATCTTCTAAACGCACGATTGTTCCCGCATGGTAAATCGTTATGGTGTGTAGGCTATATTTTGGGTTCTGTTGATGGCTAATTAAAAATAAAAACCTTTCTAAAAATGTATGTGTTGTTTATATGTTATTGTTCATATTTTACAAGTGTTATTTCTACCCCTATGAAGATAACAAATACCAACAACAAATATAACAATAAGAGAATATATTATTTGTGCTCACATTCAGGCTAGAGTGTATAAAAGATCGTTTATTTCTGCAGTCCACCATGTAATGCTTTTATTAAAGTTTAACAGCTTACATCACACCGTTTTTAAACCGTATATTATTGTGTTTTTTTAATGTAAGTGCTTCTATTTACATCAGTGAGCGTTTGTTATAGTGCAGACACCGGCAGTCGAGTGAGAAGTTCGGGGGGCGTGGTTGATTTTACATAAAGCGTTTGGTTGGAAGCTCGACTCCGCTCATTATCGCGGCTCCTCCTCTGGCTCCATCAGACAGTCCTTCTGCGCATGTCTGGCTCCAATTTCAGCAGTCTTTTGCGACAGTTTGTGCCCGTCAAGCAGGCGTTTTGCCCTCAAGGCGTTCAATGGCAAAAGGGGCTGTCGCATCGTCCATATTTTTTACAGTCATTGGTTCCTACGAAAATCCTTGACGATTGAGTGATGACATGCGTCCATCTAAATTGGCAGAAATCCTCACGGAGTGAATGTAACGAGCCGCTCCCCTTGCCTGCACGAGTCCAATGCGGCTGCGGCGCGATGGAACAGTCCAGTGTCAGTTAGCTAATGCAGCAAAACAATTTGGGACATTAATTTTATGCAGAATTGGCAGGATGGATTAAATTAGAAGACAGCCAAAACGTGTCTCTCCTGTCTTCACCACAAGCTGGCGTACAAGTGACGTCAGTCACCCTTGACCTCAATTCCGGTTTTTAGAAATTAACTTCTAAATGTAAATTTATACATCTATAATTTTTTTACATGCCCAAATGTTGTGCATTAGGTAAGGTAAGAAAATAAAACATAAATACATATACTCTGACAAATAAAAAAAATAAACTCTTAATTACATGTCAAAATAAAACAATATTTAATACTCAAAAATTTGAGTGGGTTACATTACCATATAAACTTGAAAAATCTGCAGGCACAATGAGAGCCAATGAAAACACCGGTAAAAACGCTTAGGTTTTGCTAGTTTCATCCATTTTCATTTGACTATTTAATCTGCTGAATGTTGTTAGTGAAAGTCTCAATTGTATAATAATATTAAAATGATGTCATATGTTCAACAACAGAGATTAAACGATGCATTAAAACATTTCTAAGTGTCAGTGTTGTCATTTTTCTCTTGAAAAACTGTATTTATTTCTTGGTCCTATGAAATGTTGTACTTGTGACACGCATACAGTTGAAGTCAGAATGATTAGCCCCCCTGTTTATTTTTTTCCCCCAATTTCTGTTTAACGGAGAGAGGATTGTTTTTTCACCACATTTCTAAACATAATAGTTTTAATAACTAATTTCTAATAACTTGTATTTATTATTATTCATTTATTTATTTTTTCTTTCAGAGGATATGTTTGTTTATAATTCATATATTTAATTTATTTTATTTTTAGGGGATAGTGGGAAAATAAGAATAATAAAACAATCTGTAATTTTTCCTATGTTGTATCGTATACTTTGATGCATTGTCTTGTTAAACACCAATAATAAAAAAAAAAATAATAAAAAAAAAATAAAAACTTAGTATAACTTTAAACATGTAGTTAAACCCGAGTAACTACTGACACGCTAGTGTTAATCTGTGAACGAGCAATTTACCCTGTTACCATCAGGGGGCACAGTGGAGTTCACAGTTGCACATTTAGCAAATGTAAATCATTTAGGTAATCCTAACAGACCTAAAATAGTAAATGTTTAGTATGATTTACCTAAAGACATTTTTTTTTAATGGTCATGTTCCTTCGTTTAGAGTGTATGTAAACTTCTGGTCTCAACTGTATGTATGAAGGGCTCCATGTTCATAATTAAACTGACCTGAATCAACAATGCCACAATAATGACACTACTGTCATCAGTGGAGCTGCTTTATAGCCACAAACTTAAAAAAATGATATTGCTATTAATTTATGAGAGGCATTTTAAAACAATAACAGTTATTTTCTAGTTTCTTGTATTATTGTGTTGCTGAAAACCAACAACTAGTGTAAAAAGCACTACCTGTGAATATTGAAAGCAATAGTCTTTTATTGATAAATCAATTGGTTCAACTTTTACAATGTTTCCTTTACATCTTTGCCTTAAAATTCCACTCGATGTCTCCAGCAGTCATGCAGTCCTGTTATTTTTAACACTGAAGACAGGATGGACCTCAGAGGTTTTACACAATGAAACAGCACAGGGCATTGGTTGCAAATAAAAACCCATGCACAAAAGAGGCAGCTCATGCCAGAAATATTATCATGGCTTTGTGGTTAGACCATTTCTCAGGAGAGAGGGCACTTTTTATTCTGTATAGGACCTGCTTCCAACTCTTTTCATTAATAACAGTAGCAACGTATTATAAGTGAGACATCAGACGCACATTTAACCCTTTATAGGGCACTAATTCGACTTTCAATTCATTGTAAAAAACATCCCTGTGTAAAAGTCCAGCTTAAACCAGCCTAGGCTTTAGCTAGGTTTTAGCTGGTCGACCAGACTGGTTTTAGAGGGCTTTTTGGCCATTTCCAGGCTGGTTTCCAGCCATTTCCAGTCTGGTCTTAGCTGGTCAGGCTGGAAAATGACCAGCTAAAACCAGCTTGACCAGCCTGGTTTAAGCTGGACATAGCTGGTTTTGGCTGGGCTCCCAGCCTGGCTAGGCTGATCAAGCTG